TGAGGAGGGGGGAGGGGAAGGAGAGGGAGAAAACTTAAAACTCAAAATCTTATAAAAGTAAATGTTGAAAACTAAAAATAAATATTAAAAAAAACCCCACAAGACATGAACTCTTTTTAATCCTATTTGGTTCACTTAAGGACTGTTTGCCCTTAACCCCTCTTAATTCCAGTGCTTTCCCTCTATTAATTATTTCCTATTTATCCTGTATTGCTTTGTATAGATTTGTTTGCATGTTGTCTCCAACATTAGATTGTAAGCTTCTTGAGAGCAGGGACTGTCTTTGGCCTCTTTTTGTATGTGTACAGTGCCTGGCACATATAGACACTTAATAAATGTTTACTGAATTGAATCACATTGTCAACTGAGGAATTCTGGGTTTGTTTACTAAGCTTCTAAAGTAAGATTTCACAAAGAACCAGTACTGTTTGGATAAAAAGAAATCAAAGTTATCTGTAAGGTAAAATTTATGAACTTTATAGCATATCAGGTTTTACAAGAGTAAATTTCAAATGGCTTCTTCTCCTTTCTATCCAGCCACTTACTTCTGCAGAGCACTATGCTAGAATAATCTTATTTGAGCTTTACAAAGCCCCTGGGAAGTCTGCAGCATTTAGCAGTCTTATCATTCCCACTTTACTGATGAGGTTCACAGAGGTGAAGGGACAGGCTCAACATCACAAAGCTAGTAAATGATGACCCAATGTCTACTAGGCTTTCTTCACCCTTTTAAAAACTACAGAGCCTCAACTGAGACAACTCCCTTTCCAGTAAAAGCAACACCACGGTTATGACACTATCCTAAATGCCCAAAGTCTAAGAACTGTGGCAAAGATTCAGAAGGAAACCTAAAGTTTAAAGGTGATAAATGGTGCAGGAAAGAAGACTGAAGGGGTTTATTTCCCTACATAGATAATAAATCAGTCACATTATCAGGTGCTTAATAACAGCTCACAGAATGTTCTTTCGAAGAAAATCAAAAGTATAGATTCCTCTACCATATTTAAAAAGGGTCACAAAAGAAAAAAATTGACTGAATTTTCTAAAAGCTTTCTCGGCTGGTTGGGAACAACTGAATCAACCCAAGTAGCTGCAGCTTCTGGAGCTCTCAGCCCCATAGATGGTCAAAGGGGTTGGACAATTGGTCAGAAGGAGATTACAGGGGTCTCTTTGCTGGCACTATAAGCAGGACTGTGTTGCACTGCTCATACTTAGATCGAGGTTGCAGTCCTAAGTCACAGTCCCAAGTCACAGTCCCAGGGCAAGGAAGAGCACTAGCACACCAGAACTTGAAGCCTCAGGAGACTGTGGACCTTTTTCACAGTTCCAGGGCAGAAAAAAGTACTTGTGGTTACTCACAGAGGAGAGCACAGGACAGAAGAGTAGTAAACAAACCTCTCCTTAGATCACAGCACCCTGGAAAAACTGAAAGCTTACTCATCCTCAGAACTAGCTGCACAAAATAAAAAAACCTGAAACTCAGGACAGTGTCCTCTCCAACCCAGGAGCAGAGCCCAACTTTAATATAAAGTTAAAAGTCAAGAAATAAGCATGGAAAATGAGCAAACAACAAAAAGAAAAGATCCTGATCATAGAAAGTTACTATGGTGAGACAGGGAAGATCAAAACACAAACTCAAAAGAAGACAACAAAATTAAAACTACTATATCCAAAGCCTAAAAAGGGAAATGTGAACTGGTCTCAGTCCCAAAAAGATCCTAGAAGAGCTCAAAAAGGATTTTAAAAAGCAGATAAGAGAAGTAGAGGAAAAATCAGGAAAGGAAATGACAGTGATGCAAGAAACTAATGAAAAAAGAGTCAACACCTTGGTAAAGGAGGCACAAAAAAAAATACTAAAGAAAATAACATCTTAAAAAACAGAATAGGCCAAATGGTAAAAGAGGCACAAAATTTCACTAATGCGAAGAACTCCTTAAAAAAGCAGAATCGGCCATAGGGGAAAAGATGTACAAAAATTCACTGAAGAAAAGAACTTCTTAAAATGTAGAATCCACCAAATGGAAAAAGAGGTACAAAAGCTCACTGAAGAAAATAATTTCTTAAAAATTAGAACTGGGCAAGTGGAAGCTAGTGACTCCATGAAACATTAAAAAGCAATAAAACAAAATCAAAAGGATGAAAAAATTAGAAGAAAATGTGAAATATTTCACTGGAAAAACAACTGACCTGGAAAATAGATCAAGGAGAGATAATTTAGGAATTATTGGACTACCTGAAAAGCCATGATCCAAAAAAGAGCTTAAACATCATCTTTCAAGAAATTATCAAGGAAAACTACCCTGATAGTTTTAAACCAGAGGGTCATATAAAAAGTGAAAGAATCCATTTATCACCTCGTGAAAGATCCCAAAATGAAAATTCCCAGGAACATTATAGCCAATTTCCAGAGCTCCGAGGTCAAGGAGAAAATATTGCAGGCAGCCAGAAAGAAACAATTCAAACGTCATGGAGCCACAGTCAGGATAACCCAAGATTTAGCAGCTTCTACATTAGAGAATCAGAGGGCTTGGAATGATATTTTGGAGGGCAAAGACGCTAAGCTAACAACCAAGAATTACCTACCCAGCAAAACCTAGTATAATCTGTCAGGGGAAAAAAATAGAAATTCAATGAAATAGAGAACTTTCAAGCATTCCTGATGAAAAGACCAGAGTTGAATAGAAAATCTGACTTTCAAGTACAAGACTCAAGAGAAGCAGAAAAAGTTAAACAGGAAACAGAAATCATGAGATTCAATAAGATTAAACTGTTTACATTTCTACATGGGAAGATAATACTTGTGACTCCTAAGAACTTTCTCATTAATAGGGTAGTTAGAAGAAGTATACATTGACAGAGGGCACAAGTATGATATGAATATGATGGGATGATAATCTAAAAAAATAAAACTAAGGGGTAAGAAAGAATGCACTGGGAGAAGGGGAAAGGGAAAGGTAGAATGGGGTGCAAAAGAATTTTTACAGTGGAGAGGAAGATTGGGAAGGGAAGCAGCATGCGAACTTTCCTCTTATCTGAATTGGTTCAAAGAGGGAATAACATACACACTCAGGTATAGAAATCTATCTTACCCTACAGGAAAGTAGGAGAAGAAAGGGATAAGAAGGTGGGGGGGGGAGCCTGATATAAGGGAGGGCACATCAGGGAAGGCAGCAGTCAGAAGCAAAACACTTTTGAGGATACATAGGGTGAAAGGAAAGACAGAGCACAGGACAAACAGGGGGGAAATAGGATGGAGGGTAATAAAGTTAGTAATCATAGTGTGAAAAAAACTTTACAGCAAGTTCCTCTGATAAAGGCCTCATTTCTCAAATATATAGAGAACTGAGTCAACTTTATAAAAATAAGAGCCATTCCCCAGTTGATAAATGGTCAAAGAATATGAACAGGAAGTTTTCAGAAAAGTAATCAAAGCTATCTACAATCACATGAAAAAATGCTATAAATCACTATTGATTAGAGAAATACAAATTAAAACAATTCTCAGGTTAACACCTCACATCTATCAGATTGGCTAATATAACAGAAAAAGAAAATAACAGATGTTGGAGGGGATTTTGAAAAACTGAGACACTAATGCATTGGTGAAGTAGTATACTGATTCAACCATCCTGTAGAGCAATTTGGAACTATGCCCAAAGGGCTATTAGGCCATAAAGGGCTTTGACCCAACAATAACATTACTAGGTCCATATCCCAAAGGGATAAAAAGCAAAAAGGAAAAGGACCTATATGTACAAAAATATTTATAGCAGCTGTTTTTGTGGTGGCTAAAAATTAGAAATTGAGGTGATGCCCATCGATTGGTGAATGACTGAATAAATTGTGACATATGATTGGGATGGAATACTATTGTATTGTATTATACTGACAAGCAGGATGCTCTCAGAAAACCTGGAAAGACTTACATGAACTGATGAAAAATGAAATGAGCAGAACTAGGAGAACAGTGTACACAGTAATAGCAATACTGTATGATGATCAACCATTAATAACTTAGCTATTCTCAGCATATAATAATCCAAAACAATTCTGAAGGACTTGTGATGAAGAATGCTATCCATTTCCAGAGAAAGAACTAGTAGGAGTCTGAATGCCTATCAAAGCACACTGTTTTTTTACCTTATTTTTCTTGAGGTTTTTTTTTTTTGGTCTGTGTTTTCTTTCACATCATGACTAATACGGATATATGTTTTACATGACTGACATGTATAACTTCTATCAAATTGCTTGCCTTCTCAAAGAGTGGAGGAGATGAGGGAAGAAAGGAGGGAATTTGGAACTCAAAAAATTTTTTTAAATTGTTTTTACATGTAATTGGGGGAAAAATAAAATATTAGAGAGAAAAAACAGCTTTCTAGCTGGTAAAATAAAAGCGCAAAATTACATAGCATACTTTTTAATTATCAAGGAATGTTCCCTGAAAAGCACTTTTACCCTTATAGCACTTCACAGTGTTTAAAATCAGATGAGTTTCCTACTGCTCATACACATTACCAAACGGACAATTTATTTCTCAGTAACATCAGAATCTATTTCAGCATGAAGAAAAGCCCTTATAGTTAACTGCCACTGTCAGAAGACCAGTACTTATTCCCAGCTCAAAATCAAACACAAAGTATTTCACTAGAAATTAAAACATTTGAAACAAATTCTTCAAATAACAGGCCTGAAAGAAACCTTCACAATTATTAAGTCCCATCCTTCATTTTACAAATATGAGGTAGTTGAGGCTGAGGAAGATGAAGTGACTTGGCTAGCAACACAGTTGGTTAATGACAGTATCAGGGCTGGAATCCAAATGAGCAGATTCCCAGTTCAACGTCCTTTCTGCTATTCCACCTTTGCAAGGCAGTGTTCAGAATGCCCAAGTTTTTTCCCCACCCTGTTTTCAGTACAAGATTTTTGGTAAATTACATCTCTGTCGACAATTCTCTAACTTTGCAGTTAGCAGAGCACACAGCAGAATCATACAGGCTTACTTGAGTAAAGCTAAGAAAGCAGCAGGTTCCACATCTGGCAGTTCAATTTCCGTAGAAGTTGTGGCCATTCCACCATTAAACATTGCATCGAAGACAGCGCTGCCCACAGCCAACACAAACCTAACATTCAAAAGGAGAGAAAAAATGTCCATTAAATTTCCATTCTTTTATCGGCACTGAAATATTACCAAAATATCTATGCTCATTACCCTCTTTTGCCCCCTCCCAACTGATCTTTGAAGGAAAAGGTTAATGTTTTACACCCACATTTTTAGATAATTCTAGGCTGCCTTATGTGTCAACACTTCCAAAGACATGAAGAATTTGCACCTGACCTGGTGAAAAGCTTTTCCAGGACAGGGGTTGCCCTTTCAAGCTTGTCTTCTACCCCAAAGACACCCATACACAAAGCAGTTAGTGAAATGCTGTACTTAAGATTAATGATTTACAAGATGATTGCTCAACAAATTCAAACAACCCTGAGCTGCCATCCCACATCTATCAGATTGGTTAACATGATCAAAAAGGATAATGACAAATGCTGGAGGAGATATGGAAAAATAGGTGCACTAATTCACTGTTGGTGGAGTTGTGAACTGGTGCCACCATTACGGGGAACAATTTGGAACTATGCCCAAAGTACTAGGTCTGTATCCCAAAGAGATTAAAGAAAACTAAAAAGGACCTATATGTACAAAAATATTTACAGCAGCCCTTTTTGTGGTGGCAAAGAATTGGAAATTGATGCTCATCAACTGGGAAATGGCTGAATGTACTACGGTATATGGTTGTGATGGAATACTATTGTGCCATAACAAATGACAATTAAGACAGTTTCAGAAAAACCTGGGAAAACGTATATGAACTGATGCAAAGTGAAGCCAGTAGAACCAGGAGAATACTGTACACAAAGTAACAGCAATATTGAAATGATGATCAATCATGAAAGACTTAGCTATTCTGATCAATACAACAATCAACACAAGACAATTCACGAAGAAAAATGTTATCCACCCCCAGAGACAGAACTGATGAACTCTGAAGCATACTTTTTTCACCTACTTTATGTTTCTTGATTTTTTTTTTGTTTTTGCCAGATGGCTGATATGGAAATATTTTGCACAACCTCACACGTACAATTTGTTATCATATTGCTTGCTTTCTTCTCAATAAGCGGGGGAGAAACTAGAGATAGGGAGAGAATTGGGAATTCAAAAACTTTAAGAATGTAAAAGTATAATTATTAAAAAAAGGGAAAAAAGGATCATTGAACTAAATAAATAGAATCATACACTATCAGACTAAAAAAGGTTCCTTAGAACATAGAAAATGAAATGGTGGAGCAGGAAAAGTCCTAAGAATACTGCATGTCAAAACTGGAAGAGAACATAGAATGTTCCAGGTAGAACTCTTGGAGATTATCATGAGTTTTTGCAGATGGATGATGTGCTCAAGGCTTACTTGTTCAGGTTGGTCCATCTGAATAACACAACAAGTTTGTGTGCTGCTTAGCACAGGTACTATAACAATTTTACAAAAAAAGTGAAGTGCTAAGATATCATATGATTTCTTAAGCGTGCACAGCTTTCCACTGACAGTTCTAAAACTCATTTTCCCCTAATATTTAGAACTACTTTCCCTAATCTGGAATTGAAGTTCTGAAAATTCTCCAAGTCCTTAATGGAATTATACATCTCAAAGCTGCTATTTCTACGGTCCTACAACAAAGACTCTGTTTTTACTGATAATTACCTGTAACAAATACTCTTCTCCAAACCACTTGTTTTAAGAGTGCCTTGTATTTGCAATTTAGTTCTACTGACAAATAGATGAAAGGCAGCTCAATATGGAAGAGGGAGGGCCAGCACTGGAGGTGAGAACACCTAAGTTCAAATCCTGCTTCTGACACTTATTAAGAGTAGGACTGTGGACAAGTTGCAAAACTTCTCAGTGCTCCAGGAAGCTTTAGGACTATGAGTTACAGATGACTTATAGATCTGTCCTAGCATGTTTCAATACAGAAAAAGTTCCCCACACAAATTAAATCAGGAGTCCAGATTGAAATCTCTCTCTCTCTCTCACACACACACACACACACACACACACACACACACACACACACACACGGAATAATGGTTTATGGTTATACACATGTTAAGCCCATTCTCTAATTTTATCTTCAAATCCAGGTCTTACATTAAATCTGATATTTCTTACACATACAAAACTTAAAATGCTTTTCCAAAACAAAAAGGAATTCTACACAACCGCATTTCCCCTCACTTAATAAATTCCAATGGTTCTCTATTACTTCCAGGGATCAAACAGAAAATCTTGTTTGGCTTTTAAAGCCCTTTACAATCTGACTCTTGTCTACCTATCCTACTTTCTTATTATACTTTACTCCCCCCTCCAAAGATCTGGGAGGGGAAGACCTGTTTGGGCCCTGACTGGTTCAGAATGAATCTAAATAACAATTGTTTCTGTTTTGGCAGAAACCCTGAGGGTCTTCCCCTCCCACATTTATTTTTGTTTTAATTTTTTTTTTCAAGAGGCCATCCTTTGCCTCATTTTTTATTAAGCCTTAATCACTGAATAGGCTTTGCCTTAGTCAAACTGAGACCTGTTGAGGACCTTAGCTTGAAAAGGCCAAGTTTCCCAGTGCATTCTGGGCCATCTCCAGTTGTCCTGATCCATATCTGGCCATTGGACTCAGATGGCTCCAGAGGAAAAAGTAAGGCTAGTGACTCTGCACAGCCCTCCCTCACTTAAATCCAATTCACTTGCATATCACAGCACTGCCTCCCTCATGCCACCATCCTCTTTGAGAACAAGGACAAACAGCAGTAGCAACAAGCCCCCTCCATGCACTTCAGGATCCAGCAAAACTGGGCCTTCTTGGTGGTCCTCCCACATGACCCTCCATCTCCCAACTCTTCGTTTTTTCAATGGCTGTCTCCCACGCCTAGAATGGTCACTCTTCTCACCTCTATCCCTGGGCTATCTTTAAGACTAGTTTAAATCCCACCTTCTACAAGGAGCCTTTCCCAGTTTCCCCCGCCCTGTCCCTCCACCAGTGCCTTCTAGGATTACTTCCCACTCACCCTGTATGCATCTTGCATGCACATAGCTGTCTACAGATTTTCTATCCCACTAAAACAGGAGCTCCTTGACAGCAGGGACTACTTCTGCCCTTGTGATTCCACAATGCCTGCACACAGTAAGCAACTGAATTCACAGTGTGCATATTTGATCCAACAATACAGATGGCAAATACACACGCCTGCACATTATGACTGTTATCTAAGTCTTCCCACAATATGCTTCGATGGGTCCACAATGTGAGGATGGTCTTCCTCACTTTCACTATGCATCACAAGGATACTAATGGAGCACACAAACTGTTCATGAGTTATCTATTCCTCTCAGCCAACATTGTAAGCTAGATAGTGCTTAGAAAGCTCAGACACTGAATATGCAACTATACTGTGAAGTATCATTAACATGTCACCATGTTTAAAAATGATTCCTGATATTTTAGCCAAAGGTTCCTGCGTCCCTATTACTCTCGTGCAACATTTTATGTTTAGAACCAAAAACTCCTAACTGTACTAAAAGATATAAAGCAGTTTTCACAGCTTAGCACAGTACCTGGCCCATAGTAGGCACTTAATAAATGTTTACAGAGTGACTGACTGATTGGAATAGCCTCCCTCCAGGGCATGTGGATATGGTCAATGAAGGAATTTACTCTGCTTGACTAAACCTATTTGTTGGGTTTTTTTCCTTTTGTTGCTGTTCAGTGGTGGGGATGGGTAAGAGAGAGAGAAAATAAATGCTTGGGGGAGGGGTAACATTAGATTCCCTGACTGCCAAAATACGAATGCAGGTTCTCTGCCTTGAACAAAGTAGGCACTTAATAAATGCTCACTGAATAGAACGGAATATAGTAAAAATCAATTTCACAGATGCCAGACAGGGAGGTATGACTAGAAAGTATGTATGCAAAAAACATGGAGGCTCAAATAGAGCGCAAGCTCAGCCTGATTCACTGAGGTGAAATGGAAGCCAAAAGAAGCAGATGCTACCATAGACTTGAGAGAGAGCTCTCCAGAATGAGAGGCCATGGTGCCATTAGTCTGGCCTGGACAGACAACATCTGGAATACTGTATTGAGCCTTGACAAGCTTCAGAAACCAAGACAGTGTGAGAACTGATGGCCATGCCATATGGGGACTGGTGGATGGGAACAGGGAATATTTAAGATGGAGAAGAGAAGATTTAGAGGAGACATAATAATAATTTGAAAGGCTATCAATGTGGGAAAGAGATTAGAGTTGTTCTGCTTGGCCCCAGACTACAGGAGCAAGAACAAGTAGAAGTTGCAGAGGGACACATTTAGACCTGATGTAAAAAAAAAAAAATTTCTTTTCCTAACAATTCAAGCTATGAGAAGGTAGAATGGACTGCTTCAGGAGGTATCTAGTTCCCTTCATCACAGGCCTTCAAGCAAAGACTGGATGGCTACTTGCTGAGAATGTTGTAGACTGGTTTACTATTCAAGTATGACTAGATTAGATGGGCCCTTACAGCCTTTCTAACACTTGGATTCCATGATTAACTTTGAAAAAGTCAGACACTGGCCTGGATCATCACTCAATCCATGCTAAGACTGTCCTTGACTCAATTCTCTAAAACCAGATTAAGAAATCCTTTCAACAATCAGGAATATCTGCATCCTTTCACACTGCTTCTCTATATAATGGCTTGTCCAGTCCCACTGTGCCATGACTAAAATGCTTTACGTACCAAGCACAATATCAATGTACATAAAATAAATGTAAATTTTTAAAAAGGTGAAAATATTTTTAAATGTGTTAATTTTCAGGGCATGTTCCAACATTAACCACGGACACATTATTTATCCCGTGATTAGACTGGGAAAGAATAGCTAACAAATCAATACAACATATTCTATGGATTTTCACTTTAAACAAGTCTACATAAGGAGGGAAATCCAGTGTTTTCTAGAACCACTTTAACAAGTAAACAACTTTTCAAAAGTTCATTCTATTCATCTGTATTATTCTAATCTATAACATAAACTAATACAAAGATCA